GAGAAAACACTCAGATCAAATCACACTGAGTTATGTTTGCACAGATCTCTGTTTTTTTTTTTCCTGTGACTTAGGACAGCTTGTAAACAGGACTGGGAAGAACAGCCAATTTGAAGACTCTATATTAGTCTGTTATGTGATTCTCTTACAAAATCCCTGCAGCTAGTTACTGTGTGAAAAAAATAAGTGATTTTTACACCTTTGCCTGTTGAGTCCACATCAGGCAAACTCACCCCTTTGTTCTCTACTGAGGGTTTCCTCAAAGCTTCTTTGAAACGTGGCAGAGAAACATTATGAGAATCTGGTATTGTGAATGAATCCCTCCAAGGAGTGTCCCTGTTGCCCAAATATCTACTCTAACATCATGCTTTAAAGGTCTCACCACCTCAATATCCCTTAACGGACACCAGAATCTTTTGCCACATCAATATTTGGGGAAACACATTCCAACTGTGTTAACCTTAGGAGACCCCAGCAGAAAGACAAGAAGACACTCACAGAAGAAACAGGAACTTTTCATATCCAATATGCCTGTTGGCTTATTCTACATGTTTGAGTCTGAAGGGGAATCTTATGTGAGAAGAAAAGCTCCTGACACCCACTATGGTAACTGACATGCTTTATAATTTCTTCTCATGCTGTGTCGTATCATGGGTGACTTGTGTCCTCTTCCCATGTAAACACTCTAATACCTGTAGAGTGTGAGCAGTTTATTACTGAGATCTGATGCCCATAAAAATAAAGTATCATGAAAGTAACCTTTCTATGTTAGAATATGGAAAGGTCATCTTACCACAACCAACGATGACTTTGACCCTTCTTCTGAGGCCTGAGGATGCTCCTCACTCAAATCTAGGGGAACAGGATATTACTTTCAGCTCATGGTACCACTTGTTATATGTCAAGGGCTTTTATGTTGCTAGGGACAGTGACATGTGGATTTAGTCCCTATGCCTAGCCTTAGTGCACAGAATTGATAAACATGGTTGAAGAGCTGCAAGACAGATTTCCCTGCTAGGAAAAGTGAAAACAAGGCAAGACCTCAAGAGAAATGAAGTAGAGACTTTTTGTTCTCCTAAATAAAGGGAGTCTAATGCACTGTGAAATAATCCATCTTGGATTAGGTTACACTTAAATAAATGTTATGTTAAATGACAGATTTCTATCTCTTTATGAGCATTTTCAAGTCTTTCTAGATCTCTGCTAACCTCTTTCAGCCACTACAGATCAACATAGACAGATTCTACATTCATTTACGATGATCTTATTTTTTAAATTCCTTGTTCATTGTTGCTTGTGTATATGCATATACAAAGTGTATGTACAAGAATACATACTATGTGACATCTGTCCAAGGGTCAAAGGACAAGTTTGTGGAGTTGATTCTCTCTTTCTACTTTCATATGGATCTGAGAAATGCCACTCAGGTCCTAACCACTGGAAGAAATATACATTTATCCTTTGAATCATATTGTCAGTCCTAGCATATAGAATTTTAATCTTCAAAATGTACACGTTGTTCAAGAAAAATTCATGCAGTATCAGGAACATGATGTAATGACACTAAATTTTTCACTGTTTGATACATAATCATACTTTACTGATAAGTGCAAGATACTGACATTATTACATTTAAAGATCCACCATAGATTGTTTTTTTTTCTCCTGCTAGTTTTTCTTTACTGGTCATCCTTTGTATTCATTCTGTGAGGTGAATGTCCAGGTTCAGACTACCCAACTCCCATTAAGGCAGAGAACACTGATCATCTGTCCCCTGGATTTCTACTTGCTTCAGCAAATAAGAAATGTATATAGAAGATGGACTCTTTTGTATGGTTATTAATGTCCTCATAGCCTAAATATAAGTATGTGGTAACAGTTTGGAACCTCATACTAGGGGGCTACATATCTGATTTCAACCTTGGCACTTTCACCTAAGAACATCATGACCTTGGGTCTATTCATCATCACATCTCTTCAATTCCTGTGCATCATCATTAAAGAAGTAAACAATGCACGTGTCTGTTTTGTTCCCGACCAACTTAGTGAACCTAACATATTGGTGTAAATGCTGAGAAAGGCTAGTTGTCAGTACAATGTACTGCCATAGACAGTGCACCCTCACATACTCCACAGATTCACAAAAACCCTGTAACAAATCCTCAAGCTATTGTTCTAGATAGATCCTGTTTTTCCTAAAAGTATTTATTTTAACTTCACACAGACATTTGTTGCACAGAGACAGCTAAAACTTTAAAAGTAATGCCTATGTTGTCCTGTGTTGGCCTAGGTGCATATTCAGATTCCATTTCTAAAGTATGGTCAGTATTGTTCTTTAAAATGTTCCAATTGTATGACTTCAGTTAGTAGATCTTAAATGAAATGGACCAGAAAAGACTAGTAGGTTAACATTGTTTGTTTAAATGTCTAGTACTCTTAGACTTGGAAAATCCACTGTCTTATATCTGCCTCAGAAATGTGTACATGTCTCCCTTGAACTCTCCATTGGTCAAGGAATGGGAAAGTCTCTGTGCTTGAAAGCAAGCACTGTGTCAACTAAGCTAGCCACTTACTGGTCTAGAAGGATGCAAAGATCCAGGAACGAATGATTCTGAATGAAAAATGGTCCTTTTACATAACGAATGAGGTCATTTGCTTTCTATGCCATTAGACATGCACAACAATCTTAAGTGTACACAGATGTCTGTGTTTTACATTTTCATTTTGTCTAACTTCCCTAGTACCCAAGCACATTCCCTACATCACTGTGCAGTCTCAGCAAAAAGAAGTACACAGGAAGTTACTAAAACACTTATTAATGAAAGCACAGGCAGGATAAAGACACAGGAGAGCAAGCAGACTTCAAATCAATTGTCAAGATTATGACAAACTATGTTAAACTCTTGATCAGATGTCATGGTCATTTCTTTGTTCTTGAAACATACCCTAGTCCTCTGAGAAAAGATGACAAAGAGGAAAACATAAGAAAGCAGGTTCTTGTGTTTTTGCCTAGAGTTCAGATTATGTGACATGAAATGGTCAATCTACATAAAGCCTTCAGTCATATACTGTGTGTTCTGGTTTGATTAGGGACTGTCCCGCATAGCCTCATGAGTTTGAGCACTCTCTCCCCAGCTTATGGTACTGCCTAAGAAAGGCTTCAGGAGATGGAGCATCCCTGGAGAAAGCAAGCCACTGGGGAAAGAGCTCTGTCTAACTTCTGTTTAGTCTCTGCTTCCTGAGTACATGTGCATGTATTCATGTACAGATGCAATGTGACCGGCCAGCGCCATACACCTGCTGAGACATTTTCCCTGCCATAATGACCACCTTGTCATAATAGGCCAAATAAGCCTTTCCTCCATTAAAATGCTTTTCTCAGTTATTTGGTCACAGAAATAAGAAAAGCCACTAATCATTAATAGAGTCTCATCATTGTTTCTGCCCATCTGGAAGTCCTTAAATTGACTTTCCTCTTTTGCCTCCCAAGCAGAAGGAACAACCTGACTGTTGATACACCCTTTCATTGGATCTGGCCAAGAATGCCAGGACCTACCATGGTCTTTGCGATACACGTTGGTCTCAGGAGACAACTCATTTTCAGTGTTGCCATCATCCATGATGTCAATGTTTGGAACTATGTCTGTGGAGAGTGATTTACATACTACTGTCTATAGTGGGTGAAGCCACACTGCCTCACACGAGAACTCGCTTTGCTTCCCTTTGGTTCAGATCATTCAGGGAGAAGCACAACAGTCATTGAAATGCATTTTGAAGTTCTATCGTTGCAGCTCTACTGTTGAATACTTCACACATTAAAAATACACAAGGCATTTTCCACCTTTTTAATAAGAGATATAGACTGTGGTTTGAATCAGAAATGTCCTGTTTAGGTTCAGGTATTTGGATATCTGGTACCCAGTTTGTGGCACCAATTGGGAAGACTGTGGATCCTTTAGGAGCTAGCCTTGCTGAGTGAATTGTATTACTGGAGGTAGGGTTTGAAGCCTCATAGCTTCACCCTAATTCCAGTTCATTCTCTCTCCTTCCTATTTGTAGTTAAACATGTGACTTCTCAGCCTACAGATATAAATACAACTTGTTCAGTCCATCTGTTGTTACTTGTATGTATATGATTTCAGGGTTGACCACTTGTTATTGAATAAGCAACTGGGGCTTCGCCTCTGAAGAAGACTAAATCTCCTGCTCTCAGTATTCCTTAGTTGTCCATATTTCTTTTTCTATGAGTGGGGCTCCATGAGATCCCCCACTTCCACGTTAGCATGTCTGTTGGTGGTGTACTTCCAGTGTTGTTTAGGCAGCCATACTGTTGAGGTATCATGGGTGAAGCTTCCCTGCCATTTCTAGGAGACGATCTCACAGCAGATTTCCTGGACTTCTGGCTCTTACAACTTTTCTGTGCCTTCTTCCTTAATGGTCCCTGAGCTTTAGGTGTGTTGCAGACATATCATTTGGGGCTGGGCACCCTCTGGGGATTTTTCAAGTTGAGCTAAAGGCATTTTGCATTATAATATGGTCATTAGCCTACAGAGGCAAGGAAGTGGAATGTGGTGGTATACTGAGAAATGTTTCTCTTAAGCTCCTGCAATTTAAACCTTGGTCTCTGGTAGTTGATACTGTTTGGGAAAGTTGTAGCATGTTTAGGAAGTGGAGCATTGCTGGAGAAAATGCATCACTGTGGGCAGGCTTTGAGAATCTCTAGCCTCACCCAACTTCCAGTTTGCTGTTTCATGTTTGCGGTTGAAAATGCGACCTCTCAGCCTACTGCTCCTGACAGTATGCCTGCCACTTGTTGCCATGACTTTCACTCACCATGATTGATATTTATCCCTCTGGAAACATAAGTCAACATAAACTCTTTCTTCTCTAAGTTTCTTTTGGTCATAGTATATTATCGTAGCAACAGAAAAGTAACTAGTACAATTATCATCACCGATGACTATTAATAACTCAGACTAACTACTGAATATCCACAGTACCGTCACTGGTGCCGCATGCCTTTTCCTTCACATGCCCATTTGCTGTTTCAGGTCTGACACTGAAGGACTTGCTGTGCCCAAGGCCCAGCTTTCGCATCATGGACCTCACTGCAACGCATTCACAACAAAAAGAGGTCAGCTCAATTGCATTTAACAAATAAACAAACAACCCTCGCCCCCGGGAAACCTAACAACTGTTCTGTGTATAAACATTTGATCTCATTAGTGATTTTCAAGCATGACTCAGAATGTTACTCAGAATGGAGGATCACAAACATAAGTGTCCACTTAACACAAGAATGGTATGGTCACTAAGGTCTCAATTCATGTGAATGGCACAGTATTAGCAGAGAAGCAATGTGACTCAGTGTGTGAGATAGCCAGCATCCAAATCATTTTAAGATCCATGGAAACCTATGAAATTTATGCAGCTGCTTATGACACCAACTCTTGGCACTCTGACCCTCCAACTGCCTAAGCACTTACATTAAACCTGATGAATCTAAAACAGTAAGCAAACATGAAGACTTATAGACTAGTACTAGGTCTAGAGAAGTGGTCTGTGGGGTTTACTGAATGCTAGAACAATCAGCAAGATAGCAATGGGTGGATCCAGAGACAGCTCCGGAACAGTGGACAATGGCAATTTCTTTTCATTCTTTGCCTAACCGTGGTGTTTTACAGAGCATGAAGATTGTGTATCACATCGAAGTAGGGAAGTAGGTAACGGGTTATCTTCATGCCACTGTGACATAATTGCCCTGACAGAAAAACCTCACAACAGGGAAGGAAGTTCTACTTTTCAGTCCCTGGTATGAATATTGACCATTTTCTCCAAAAGGAGTGATATGAGAGAGTTTGGTTAGTTCAAATGTCTCCATCTTTTCTACACTGTCTTTCTAATGATAAGATAACCATGCTGACCAGACACCACATAATGACTCAGACTCCAAGTCATTCTAACACTGATGTTACATTACAGTTGTGGTGGGGGTAGGGGAACACTTCCCTACAACTGACATACTCTGGATAAGCCTTCAAACTCAGTGAACAGGACAAGAAGTTTGGTGGCTTGGTGATTTAATGGATGTGTCTGCGCACATCACTCTCTAGGTGACAACTGCCGTTGGCACTATCTGTGGAGCCTGAAAAAGACCAGAGCAGAGAAGGGCAGAGCCTTCACTAGCTCTAAGTGTGCACCTGCCCACTCATGCTTCCTCAACCATGTCCAGTTTCTAAACTACAAACTCTTTAACGTTGTACACTATTTTATATTATATAAACATGAGATCTTGGAGAAAACCAGAAAATGTTATAATCTAACAATGGCCTGCTTATGTGTCAAGTTGACAAGAGGTGACTTGTGCTATTTAATCTTCTTTGTAAACTTCATACACCTAGGAGGGAATCGAAATTGGGGAGTTGCTTCCATTAGATTGGCTTGTAAGAATGACTGTGAGAATATTCTTGACTTCTAATTGATATACCAAGGCCCAGACCACTGTGGGTGGTGTTACTCCTTAGGCAGGTGGGGGTGCACTGTCTAAGAAAAATAACTGAGCAAACTAGAGAGAGCAAATCAGTAAGCAACATTCCTTCATGGTCTCTGCTTAGCTTCCTGACTCCACGTTGCTACTTTGAGTTACCATTTTTGCTTCCCTTGATGGCAGACTATAATCTGATAGATACAACAAGCCCTTTCCTCCCCGGCTTGCTTTTGGTCAATATGTCTGTCATACCAATGGAAAACAAATTATAATATGTGCATTTGACAAAATGTAGGAGGAGAATATAATTAAAATACTTATTAATGACTGCACCAGCTGGACAATGACACAGCAAAGGAAGCATCTTCGTTTTAACCACTAGATGATGACAACAACCTACATTAAACTCTGGACCAGATGACATGGTCATTTCTTTGTCCAAGGAGTACAAAAATAAAATATTGAGTCATAACATTGAGAAGATCAACCAAGGAAGATTCACTAATAGACTCTTATCATTGCTTTTGCCTATTAGGAAGACCCTTAAATTGATTTTCTCTGTCATCCAAGGAGAAGGAATAACATGTCTAATCCTAGACCCTCCCATTGGATCTGACCAGGAATGCCAGTACCTACCAGTACTACAACCAAGAAAACTTCTCTTCTTGCTGCTCGTCTTTTTCTCAGAGTCAGTTTCGTCAGGATCATCAGTATCTGGAAGAAAGTCAGTGGAGAGATGGATCAGACCCGGAATGACCTACCTCTTTTCGGCCCTTGGAGCCCAGTCCCACTTCTGTTACCTCGCTGCCTCCTGAACGTGGATGCAGTGTGAACAACTGGCTGCCTGCACTGGCTAAGACACCTTCCATGCCAGCTGCCACGGCTTCCCCACAATAATGGAATCATCTTTTTAACTATAAGCCACAATAAACCCTTTCTCAATTAAAATGCTTGTCAGGTGTTTGGTCATAAACATGAGAAAAATAACTAAATATAATGATTAAATAATAGTTTCATCATTGCTTCTTGCCCACTTGGAAGACCCTTCAAATTAACATTCTCTCATAGATATCCAAGGAGAAGGAATAACCCACCTGCTCTTAGACCCTCCCATTGGATCTGACCAGGAATGCCAGTACCTACCACTACTGCTACCAAGAAAACTGCTCTCTTTGCTGTTCATCTCGTTCTCAGAGTCGGTTTCGTCAGGATCATCAGTATCTGGAAGAAAGTCAGTGGAGAGATGGATCAGACCCGGAATGACTACCACCAAGTCCATTGCCTTGAAGGCTGTTCTTGCTACCCAAGTCATCCTCAGTGTGTCACCACCTATAGTGTTTGAATCTGGAAGAAACCAGTGAAGAATTGGATGTGACCAGAAATGACCTACCACTACCAAGATCATCGCTTTAAAGGCTGCTGTCTTTACACAAGACATTGGCATCTTTGCCCTCATCCATATCTGGAAGGAAAAAAGTGGAGAGATTGAGTAACTCATACCTAGGTGACTGTAGTAGGTGAAGCCATACTGCCTAAACAGAATCAAACTCAGTTTTTTGTTTGTTCACATTATTCTCTGAGAACCACAGTAGAAGTTTAAGTGTGTTTTTATATTCTGTGTTTGTAGTTCTACTGATGAACTAGGGAGGTTAATATTTCACATATCAAAAGAATAGTGCAAGAAATCTTCATTCTTTTCATAAATAAAAGGCAGCATAATCTACAACTATTGTTGATGACAAAGTAATTATTGAATTTTCAAAGTACCATCAGCAGTCTGCTGATAAAAAGCTATGTCTCAGAGTTTGTGGCACTGGGTACTGTGCCCTTTCCCTCTGGTCCTGAGACCTTGGAACCTTGCATTACTATGGTAATGGCTCTGTTCCTTATTGTCTATTCTAGGAGTGTGCTATGACCTTGAGGGCTGTGAAATTATTTTCAGAATTGTAAGGCGTCTCCGGTTAGACATGTGAGAAGTCAGGCAAGAGAGAGGGATGAGAGAGAAAACTAAGAACAAAGAGAGAACAGCAGAAAAAAGGTACAGAGAACCAGGAAAGAGAGGAGCTAAGTATGAGAGCAGAAAAGAAGCTATGTAGTTAGAATTGACTTAGAAGACTAAAATGAATGGACTGAAAGAGATCTGTATAGATTCATTTGACATCCCTCAGATCGGAATCCTAGCCTCTGTAAGCATCTTCCCCAGGACTCTAGGAGAAATCTCCTCAGGGTGGGTCCGGGGACTGGGGGGGGGGGGGGACGGGCAGAGGAGCTTTCTTTACATCATAGAGATTAGTGTACACTTAATATAGGCATTACATGGTCAAGAGAGGTAAGTTCTCTCATGGCTATGGCACAGTAGCAACAGAAAAGCAGTGTGAAATTTGTACAGTTCCTTGCTTCTCTACTCTTTGCACTGGGACACCAAAAATTAAGAATCTTTCATAAACCTCATGCGTGTGAAAATAAGTAACGATAAAGGCTTAGTTAAAAGCACTGGACTACAGAAATGTCATGACATTTGTTAAATGTAAAACACAAACAAGACCCCAGCTCGATTGAGTGGCTACTTGCAGAGAGGGTGTTAGCCTGGCCTTGGGGCAATGGACAGTTATGTTTACTCTTCATTCTTTACACAGCACGGTGTTTTACAGGTCATGGAGCTGTCTACGTTTCACCTCAGACTACTGGAGTATTTAATTTTATGTCATTGTGAACAAATTGTCTGACAGAAAAAAAATAGAGATGAATGTTCTACTTTTGAATCCCTGACACAAAATATGAGTTTGCAAAAGAAGTCATTCAGAGAGCTCAGAGGTGTAAATGTGCACCTGTCTCTGCCACCTCCTTCACGATGCCTCCCTGTAGTTTCTAATAGTTAAGTCCATGGACATGGGACCCCTTCTATCTGTCTACCACAATGACTCAGAGGCCAGATCATGCTACCACAGTTGTCACTTGATGGTGGGGAGGAAAACAACACTATCTTTCAACTGATTAGCCCTGAATAAACCTTCAACATAAAGTGACAGGACAAGATGCCTAGATCATTGTGACTTAATGGACTGAGTGTGTGCATTCCACTTTCTCACTGACAGTTACCCTTGGCAACAGTCTCTACAGCCAGACCAGGCCTGCCTCTGAGAAGGGCGGGGGCTGCATTATCACTGAGTATGTGCAATCCCTACTCACTTTTTCCTCAATGAAGTCCAATTTTTACTAAACAAATTTTGTTTCCATTCACTGGCTACCAGGGGCAGGACACACAGTCCTGCTTGCTCTGAACTAAAGCCCTCCTTAGCAAATGCCTGAACATACAGACATATCACAATCACACTATTCAGTCCTGACTGTTTACATACACTGAATGGATAGGCTCCCTATGTTCTCACCAGTCAACATGGAGACTGACCATCAGTAAGAGCAAATACTTTTGGAGCAAAGTCTAACTCATCTTTAAATATGGTCAGTTAAAAGAATGAGACTATATTGATGAGAGGCTTCTCTTCCTTCCTTCCTTCCTTCCTTCCTTCCTTCCTTCTTTTTTTTTTTTTTTTTTTTTTAGTAGACATACACCCTAAATTGTGTGGTGCTTTGAGCTCCTGAGAAGGAGCTAAAGCATTCCACCAGTTCTTACTGGAACCTGTTGTTTCTAGAATTTCAGTCGTGACACATATACAATTTGGTTGTTGTTTTTTTCTGTGACTTTCACTGTTAGAATCAATGCTCTCACTGGTGGAAGGTCAGCTCTTTTCCCACTTGTCATTTTTCATTCCCATTTTGTTGTTATTGTTGTTGTTGTCGTCGTCAGACATAGCCTCATTATACAGCCCAGGATGACCAGAAACTGTCAGACAGGGAGAATAAACACCAACTCCTTATAGATTTGTGTGCTACCACTCAGGTTCATGTGGTACTAAAGATCAAACTGAGGGCCTCCTATGTCATAGGTAGACATTTTACCAAGGGAGCTATTTTCCCAGAACATGTGGGCTTTCTCTGGCTTTCACACTTGTGGAAGTCTGTACCCAGGCGCATGGATGCTGAAATAGGTTTTGATTGTTGCTGTTATTTTCTATCTCTCGAGATTTGATGTGTTTGAAGTCCAGCTAGGGGCTGGAAGCCTTCTACAGTGACTATTGGCATCTTGACAGGGTAGTAAGTGGAAGTTTCATCTCATAGCACTGATCCTGGACCCTACGTTTATGTACACAATGATGGTCTTGGCCTATGTAGTCACACATCTCAACCACTTAACTCTGTGTCTTGGTTGATTCTTCTATAACAGAGTACCAAAGAAATAATGCCAGCATGCATGGCTATGAAGAGTTCTAAACTAATATAGGGAAAATGTGCACTTTAATTTTTTTCTCATTGGAGAAATTGATATTGGGTTTAAATAACTGGGATTTCTACCTAGGAGAAATACAGATATAGACACATCCTGGTGCATAAAATCTCAAACTAAAATGATCACAACTAAATGCATGCATAATAAACATTCTTACAATTTGTTATTTGGGATATCACTGTGTGTGTGTGTGTGTGTGTGTGTGTGTGTGTGTGTGTGTGTGTGTGTTTCTTTTTCTTTATCTAAAAGTCTCAAGTGTTACTGTGAGCAGGTGGTAGAAATTGTAGAGTACACCTGAGAAAAGACAGGCAGTATTGTAAATTTCTTATGTAAAATGTGTCTTAAGAAAGTGGCGGGCTGGAGAGATGGCTCAGAGGTTAAGAGCACTGACTGCTCTTCCAGAGGTCCTGAGTTCAATTCCCAGCGACCACATGGTGGCTCACAACCATCTGTAATGAGATCTGGTGCCCTCTTCTGGCCTGCAGTCATACATGCTGTATACATAATAAATAATAAATAATAAATGAATAAATCTTAAAAAAAAAAAAAAAGAAAGTGGCTCCACAATACATACCATATGGCTTCCTCTTTGGCTCCACCTACAATTTAAAGAAAAGAAACACTCAGGTACAGAACAAGGTGAGTTCTATTTCCATAGGTTTCTTTCCTCTCCTAGTACTTAGGGTAATTGTAATTAGGATGGGGAAGAATAGTCAAGACAAAGATTATTAGTCTGTCATATGATGCTGTCAGAAAACAATTGACCTTGGATACTTTGTGAAAAAATATCTTTCACACTTTTGCTGATTCAACCCAAATCAGGTCTCCCTATCACTCTATTAAAGGTTTTTAGAATACACTGTCACATGGCAGAGAAATCTTTTTAAAACCTGCTCTTAAGAGTCCCCTTTGAGGGGCTGGAGAGATGGCTCAGAGGTTAAGAACACTGGCTGTTCTTCCAGAGGTCCTGAGTTCAATTCCCAGCACCCATACTGGCTCACAACCATCTGTAATGAGATCTGGCTCCCTCTTCTGGCCTGTAGGGATACATGCAAACAGAACACTGTATACAGAAGTAAATAAATAATTCTTTAAAAAAAAAAAAAAAAGTCCCCTTTGAGAAGTGCCTCCATGCCCCAATTAGCTACATTGAATTCATGCTTTACAGGTCTGGCGACTTCAATGTTCCTATAGTTGACACAGGAAACTTCTGCCACAATAGTTTCAAAAACCAACTTACACTATCTAACATAGAACCCTGCAAGAGGAAGTGGAGACGACACTTACAGAAAATACACATTCTTCATAAACAACAACTCAGCTACCTTTGAAAACATGTATTTGTTGTATGTGTGCTCAAGTATATGTATGTGCACCACATGTGTGCAGGCATCCGGAGAGGCCAGAAAAGGGTGTGGGTTGTCAGATCCTCTGGGAATGGAGTTACAGGTGGCTGTGAACCACCGTGTGAGTGCTTGGAATTGAACCTGTGTCCTTCGGAAGAGCAGCAAGTGCTCTTAACAACCCCATCTATTACCTTTTGAGTGTAAATTACACAACTTTAAATATAAAAAGGAACACTTGTTCAAGAAAAATAAGCCTCCTAAAACACACCTGACAGTGACATTTTGAGTCAGGGATGACTTGGTACAATTTTATTTCATTCACTTCTTAAGTAAACAACTTAATGTGTAGTGTACATGATCTTTTATATTATTCAAATATAGTATCTATTAAAAACAAAGGAATCAGGAAAGTAGCCTTTCTATCTTAGAAAATGTGATGTCCATCTTACCTTTGATGACCTTGCCGACTCTTCTTGTGGGGCTGTCAACTGTCTGTCCTCTGGAAAAAAAACACAAAATAACAGCTCAAGGTACAATTTGTAATTGCCCAGAAAGCTTTGCTTTATATGGACAAAGATCTATGGCTTTAGTCCATATGGCTGGACTGAATGGATGTAGTTCATTAATGAGCATGATTGGGCTACTGCTGGACCAATCTTTTCAAGAGGAAAGGGAAAGTAGGAGAATACAAGAAGAGAAATGAGGGACAATAATTTTGGCCTCTCTAAGTATTGGGAATCTAAGACAATGTGCAATAATCCATGTTTGACTGTGTGACCACTAAAATGAATCTTAACATTATATAGGAGCTCTACCATGTCTTCAGACCATTCTGAAGCCCAGAAGATTGACTTTCCTTTCTAGGAATCTCTCAAATCCATGTCAATGCCCACAAACGAAATACACAGAATTTGCATTTGTCATTAAGCAAATGGGAATTCAAACTCAATAGTCTACATACTGTACTGGGGAAATAGATTTGGTAGCAGGCACAAGATGTAATTATATTCATCCACTCATCCTTTGATACACAGTGAGATTACTGAACAGTAGAAGATACTGATGTTAATACAGTTTCTAAGTAGTAACTATATATAATGCAAATCTTCTGATCTTCCTTTAATATGCTATCCATTTGTTTTTGTGGTGTTGTGTGGCTGCCCATATTCGGATCAGTGGACCCACAGTGTAGTGGGTTAGAATGAGTATCTGGCCTCTGTTGACCACTCCATATCAGAGTTGTCACTAGAATGCTATAGAACATTAATACTGGAATGCTATTCTGAGTTCTTATACATCCCTGTCTCAGGAGTGCAGCTCATATGGTCTCAGCACTTAACTTCACAGATATCACTAAAAGATATGCCCAATTGTAACTGACTTTATGGCAGGGTTGGAGACTGATTAAGGACTCAGTATCAGTGAACTAATCAAAACCATCAGTTCCTTGTGTTTTGCACATAATAACTAGAAAGAAATCTGATATTTGCGTAGCGATATCTGCCCTGGGGTTTGTAAGCATGAGTATGAAGTGGATAATGTGTATAATTTATGTAGGCCAGCAGAAATCCATCCACAGATGATGGCTCTCTTCTATGTTAGCTATTAACTCCACAGCTGAATGATGAGCACAAGTCAACAATTAGGGTATCACATGAGGGCCACACATCTGTTTCTATATTGGCCCTAAGAGTAGAGGAGCTTGAATACTTCCATCACTCACTCTCTCTCCTCTCTCTCTCTCTCTCTCTCTCTCTCTCTCTCTCTCTCTCTCTCTCTCTCTCTCTCTCTCTGATTCTAACCATAAGGGCATATATCTGTGCTGTTGGTAAGTGATTTAATGAACACAAGGCATGTGGTTTAAATCCTCAGGCATGTTAAGTTATTGGCAAAATAAACTGCCCAGTTCCTCCAGCTTAGCCTGAACCACAGACTCATGAAAGTCTTGGGTTCTAAATTCCAAAGCCATTATTCTTCTATGACATACTCCTACTTAGCTCGAAAAAAACCATTTTTCTTTCATGCAGACTCGGGTAGACAAAACGAGTTAACAGTTTAAAACTTATGCCTATGCTGGCCTAAGTACACACTCACTGTCCACTCCCAAAGTTAGGTCAGCATTGTTCTTCAGAAGGTCCCAGTTGCAATACCTTTCTCAATAAGGCAGTCCCAGAATGCTGGGTGCACTAACATTATGTATTAAAACATGTAATATTTTAAGACCTGGAAAACCCACCATCTTACATTACTAATGTGTCACAAATTTGAGAGTATCTCCATTTAGCTATTGAGAAAGTCATAGGAAAGTCTAGAGTTCAACTTTTGAAAGAGCTCAAAATGAAGGGTCAGGAGAACTAAGCCACATAACACACTGAAACAGTTTTAGCCATTAACATCTTTTCAAATCTATAGGTAAACACAATTCTCTCTGTGAATAATTCTAATCATCATATTATATGTATACATTATATACTAATTGCTGATTGTAAAACAATATTAAGTTTCTATGCTCGTATTCATCAGTCTTTACAATTGACCCTAATCCTCTACTTTTGTGTATTAAAACTGACTCCATCCTGAAAAAGAAATTACCACATTTGACAATGCTTAGCTCTGTGGGGAAGTAGGCTCAAAAATTACCTCTAATTGATATTCCTAAATCAGACAGCTCACAAAGTAAATGTTTTCAGATTAATGAAATATAGAAAGTGCATGCTCCTATGAACCATCACATACATGGAAAACACATATCCACATTTTCCTGAATAAAATGAACCTTTCAGGGGAAAAAAGGGAATGTAAAAATAAAGATACAGCGTGGCAGTGGTGGCTCACGCCTTTAATCCCAGCACTCGGGAGGCAGAGGAAGGTGGATCGAGGCCAGCCTGGGCTACAGAGTGAGTTCCAGGAAAGACGCAAAGCTACATAGAGAAACTCTGTCTCGAAAAACCAAAAAAAAACAAAAAATAAAATACAGATACAAACACATTGTTATATGAAATGCCTCAAAACATCTCCATAATTCTTTGAGATTAATAATTTAAATACATATAATTTAAATCTTATCAAAATATACTTTACAAAAGTTATTGTATTTATACCACAGAGCATCTAGTAAGGAAAAGCTTAACAACATACGCTATAATAGGAATTTACACACACACACACACACACACACACACACACACACACACACACACACACTCAAGTTTTTCCCACAGCATTTTGTCTACATATTCTTTTGTTGCCCTATGATGAGGAGTCAGGGGTTTTGGTCATTCTCCCTAAAGTTACAACCCTTGAGATCTGGTCTCATTCACAGAGGTCAAACACATGGAGCTTCTGCACTTCCTGATGACTGGTAATATAAACTGCTGCCCACTAGATTTACATGAAAATTTAGGGCTGAACTCCAGTCCTCACAAGCACGTTACTAGCTGCCAATCTTCTGGATATGAAAAAGGACATCCAGAGGTTTGGTGATACCTGATTTATAAAAAGACTAATGCTTTTGCATCCCATGTCTATGCCATCAGACATACAAAATGGTTTTTAGGGCTTCACAGGTTTTTGATTCAGTGACGCATGTTCAATGTTTTTCTCCAATGTCAAAATATATTCTCTATGTATGAGACTCTCCACCAAAGACAACATGTAATAAATAACTAAAATTCTAATAAATGCAAGAACAGAGAGGACCAGGAGACAGGAAAGCAAACTTGACTGGGTTTGACTATTTAGATAATAACAAACTACTATAAAATCTTGGGCAGATAACACAGGCGTTACTTTCTTCCTGGAACACACTATCTTCCTGTGTTGAAGGATGACAAGGAACAAATTATGAAAAAGAAATTGAATCCTGGGTTGATACTTAGACAACACAGTATGTAATATGGAACGGTCACTCTATACGAGCACGGAAACGCAGCGCTCTGCTCCAATGATGCAGGCGGAGCACTGCTTCCGCACACCTCGAAGCCCACTGACCTGACTCTCCCAGCCCTTTGACGCCCCTAACGGAGGTGCAAACTCCCCACTCCTGGGTCCTTTCTCATTGAATCTGATCAGGGATGAATTATTTACCACTCCTGTATTCTGTATTTCTCAAGCTTACCTCGTCATTCATTGAGTCTGTAGTGTATGGAATAAAGCAAGTACAGAAAATAACTTATACATACATTATTGCCTCTAGCAGGGGAAGCCACACTGCTTCACTAAAGGACCACCTCAGCTTTCCTTTGATTCATATCATTCAATATAATTAAAATGTACATAACGTACACTTAACATAGTAAAAAATATTGTAAAAACATCATATACTTATGAAGTGCAAAATAATATATGACTACTCTACATAACTCAAAGTAATTATAGAAACAATCTCCCTTAGATCAGGAAAATACTGAAATAAGTATTATAATTAATAGAGATTTCTATCACTTCTTCAGGCCATTTTCAAACCAGGAAAATTGACACTATTTTAAACATCAGTCAAACTGCTTTCCTCCACTACAGATCAAATTATATATATATTGCATTTGTTAACCAAATATGCCTTTATTTTTTAATTGCTTTTATATTATTAATACAATTATCATTATACCCGTGTAGGTACATGAAGTATGTGTTAGAGTACATGCCATGGCACACGTGTGGGGTTCAGAAGACAACTTGGAGTAGATGGTTCTCTCCTTTCACCTTTATGGAGGTTCCAGGAACCTAACTCATGTCACAGGTTATAAAAGGCAAGTACATTTACCAAGGAAGCCATCTCACCAGACAATTTAAATGTTGATAGAGCATACATTGTTTTAGAAAAAGGAACATACCACCAAGCATATGATGTAATCATACTGAAGTATTCACTCTTTATGATACAGTGATAGCTTATTGGAGAGTGGGTAATACTTACATTATTACACTTAAAAACCAACTGCTACGTATCATTTATTCCTCCTTCTGGTTTTCCTCTACAGTGAAATCATTTGTATTCACTGCATAAAGGATCTGTCCAGGTTCAGACCAGCAAACTGACATTAAGGTGAACAAGAATGTTGATTTGGACCCTGCTCAACACCATGGCTTGGAAACAAAGTTCCAAATGAGAATTTTCACGAGAGTGAGGCATTATGTAAATACTGAGTGCTACTCTGAGTAGTTATCTATTTCTGTCCCAGGGTTTGTAGCTCACACAGCCTCACAACATCTAGATGACACTTACACTGCCTTGACCTATCACTAAAGGATCTTCCCATTCTTTTTTTTTGTTTTGTTTTGTTTTTTTGGTTTTTTCGAGACAGGGTTTCTCCGTGTAGCTTTGCGCCTTTCCTGGAACTCACTTGGTAGCCCAGGCTGGCTTCGAATTCACAGAGATCCGCCTGGCTCTGCCTCCCGAGTGCTGGGATTAAAGGCGTGCGCCACCACCGCCCGGCGGATCTTCCCATTCTTAAATGCACTAGGATAGGGTGAGGGGTGATCTGGTAGTCACAGGGTGTGGTTCACCCAAATCGTGAACCTTGACACTGTATCACCATTGGTTCTTTCTATGTGCTTTGGACATCACCACAGTGATGAGATCAGGATTCCTGCAGCAATGACTACTCTGGCCTATGATATCTCAATCTCTACCTTATCAGATGCATTCATATTGGATTTGGAAATCCAGAAATTTACACAGACTACAGAACCTCTTGTATGACGGTTAATGATCTCAGATCCTAATTCTGAGCCCAGATAGTGAGATTTAGAGTCACAGAATTTTGAACTCTGTGTGGGATTCCCCTCTCAGCCCTCTCACCTAAGAGCATCACAGGTTTGGGTCCATTCATCATTGTATCTCCTTGATTCCACCCAGGGGATGTGAATAACTAAAGACATATTGTAGTGCTGTTCCTGCGTGACTCAATGAACACAAGGCATGTGGTGTAAATGCTGAGGAAGGTTAGTTATTGGCAGAATGTGCTGCCACAGACCTCACAACTTAGTTGGTTCATAGACACATAAACCCACAGATAACACATTCTCAAGCAATTGTTCTTCTGGAACATAACCATGCTTTTTATGAAAGTGTTCATTTTTAATTTCACGTGGACTTGGGTTGGACAGAATTATAGAAAGGTTTTAAAGTAGTTCCTAATTTGGCTCGAGTGCATCCTCAGAATCTACTTCTAACATAGGCCACCATTATTCTCCAGAATGTTGTAGATTCCTGACTATGGCTATTATATCCTGTTTGAATGAGAACTCAGAAACACTGAGTAGATTGAAATTCTACTGAAGGTCTACTATGGCTACAGAAAATTGACCATCATACATTATTAATGCCTCACAAATATGAGGGCTACTATGTTTAGTCACTGGCCAACTCATAGGAAAGGCCAGTTTATCAAGGCAAGCACTGCATCTCCTGAGTTACCAACACAGCCCTCAAAAGGAGCATAAAGGATATAAAGTCTGACAGTTTTACCAAACGGAGTTTTTACGCTCAGTTTCTAGGTCATTAGACATGCACAATAACTAAATCTCAGGAGTTTGTTAATGTGATATATGTTCCTTTCGTCTGCATTCTTTATACCATAGGTGATATATGTTCCTCCCCTCTGCATCTGCCATACCATATGTGATACATGTTCCTTCCATCTTTATCCTCTATACCATAGGTGATACATGCTCCTTCCATCTCCATCCTCTATACCATAGGTGATACATGCTCCTTCCATCTCCATCCTCTATACCATAGGTGATACATGTTCCTTCCATCTCCATCCTCTATACCATAGGTGATACATGTTCCTTCCTTCTGAATCCTCTATACCATAAGTGATACATGTTCCTTCCTTCTCCATCCTCTATACCATAAGTGATACATGTTCCTTCCGTCTGCATCTTCTATACCATATGTGATACATGTTCCTTCCATCTCCATCCTGTATACCATATGTGATACATGCGCCTTCTGCATCCTCTATACCATACGTGATGTATGTTCCTTCCATCTCCATCCTCTATACCATGTGATACATGTTCCTTCCGTCTCCATCCTCTATCCCATAGGTGATACATGTTCCTTCCTTCTGCATCCTCTATACCATATGTGATACATATTCCTTCCATCTCTATCCTCTATACCATACGTGATACATATTCCTTCCATATCCATCCTCTATACCATAACTGATGCATGTTCCTTCTACCTCCATCCTCTATACCATGTGATACATGTTCCTTCCTTCTGCATCCTCTATACCATACGTGATGTATGTTTCTTCCGTCTGCATCCTCTATACCATACGTGATGTATGTTTCTTCCATCTGCATCCTCTATACCATATGTGATGTATGTTCCTTCTGTCTGCATCCTCTATACCATAAGTGATATATGTTCCTTCCGCCTGCATCCTCTATACCATAAGTGATATATGTTCCTTCCGCCTGCATCCTCTATACCATAAATGATATATGTTCCTTCCATCTGCATTCCCTATACCATAAGTGATATACATTCCTCCCCTCTGCATTTCCCTATACCATACATGATATATGTTCCTTCTGTTTCAGTAAGAAGTGGCATGTGGAAAATAACTAAAATACATAATACTGAAAACTGTCAGGTCAAGGACACAGGAGAAAATGGGATTCAGTCTAAGGAACTAAATAAAGATAAACAGAAACACAACAATGTCTCTGTACTTAGATGCTTTTGACGAAGATGAAATAGAAGGAATAAATGAGGAAGTGAGTCTTCTTTTTCACAATTCACATTCATGACATGATGTGGATAATTCATACAAGAACATAAACTGATGGCTATGTGTTCTGGTTTGAATGTAAAATGTTCCCCATAGCTTTGTGTGTTTAAACATGTAGTATGGAGCTGGTGGTGCTGTTTGGGAAGGGTTTGGATCCTTTAGAGGTGGAGCATCCTTGGATGAAGTGAGGTTCTGGGAAGACCCCATTCCCACCTCAGTTAACTCTCTGCCTTCTGATTGTGGATGTGAATGCAATGTTAATGTTGTTTGTTTTTGCTCTTTTGAGGGGTCCACCGCCCAGTTCCCAAATAAATCACACACAAGGGTGTATTCTTAATTATAAATGGCTAACCTTAGCTTGGCTTGTTTATGACCAGCTTTTCTTAAATTAACCGGTCTATTGTAGCACGAATCTTAAAAGGTCTTATTAATAAAAACAAACCCAGGAGCCAGATATTGAGGTGAATGCTGAAAAGATCAGAGAAGCAGAACAAGCCACATCCAACCTCACTTTGCCAATTCCTCAGCTGAGCTTGTTTCCTCAGACTTGAAGCCTCTGAGTCCTCACCCGAATGAATCTCAGCTGAACTGTTGCTAAAAGCTAAAAGCTTAAAAAGGCTCTAGTTTCTGGTCCTCATACCTTATATACCTTTCTGCTTCCTCCCATCACTTCCTAGGATTAAAGGCATGTGTCACCATGCCTGGCTGTTTCCATTGTGTCTCCAGAATGCTAGGATTAATGGCGTGTGCTACCACTGCCTAAACCTATGTTTAATATAGTAGCTATTCTGTTTTCTGACCCCCATATAAGTTTATTGGGGTGCACAATATATCAACCACAGTCTATCTTTTGCCTCTGGGCTTTTATGCTTTTCTATTTCTGTATGTCTTTCTTTCTTTCTTACTCTGTTGCTAGGTGTACAGCTGAGTAGCTGGCCCCTCGCATCCTTCTCTCCTTGTTCTCTTGCTCTTTCTTCTTTTTCTCCTTCTATTTATGCTCTCTGCCTGCCAGCCCCGCCCATTTCTCTCTCTGCTGCCTAGCTGTTCAGCTCTTTATTAGACCATCCGGTGTTTTAGACAGACAAAGTAACACAACCTCACAGAGTTAAACAAATGCAACATAAAAGAATGCAAAACAGCTTTGCATCATTAAACAAATGTTCCAGAGAATAAACAAAAGTAACACACCCTAAAATAATATTCTACAAGATGTAACTATTGTCCCCTGTGCCTACAGCCCTCCGTTCCCTGCCAGCTTCCATGTCTCCACCAACATGATGCAGTGATCCACTTTAACAATAAGCCACAATAAACCCTTCCTCCATCAAACTGTTTCGTGTCACTTATTTCATCATAGCAATGAGAAAAGAAGTTGAAACACAACAATTCAGGAATAGACCCTGGCTGACACTTCTGTCCACTGAAGGACCCTTGAGTGGACTTTCTTCCCCTGCTTTCCAAGCAGAAGGAATAACTTGATCACTGCTAGATTGTACATTGGATCTGACCAGAAATGCCTTTACCTACCACTAACAAGTTCAGCATTTTGCAGGTTGGTCTTTCTACCCAAGTCATTATCAATGTTGTCCTCATCCATTCCATTGAAATCTGGATGAAAGTCAGTAGAGAGATGGATCTGACCAGGAATGACCTACCACCACCAACATCATTGCTTTGAAGGCTGTTCTCCTTACCCAAGTCATCCTCAGTGTCATCCTCATCACTATCATCAATACATGGAAGTCAGTGGAGAGGTGGATGTGACCAGGAATACCATTACCTACTACTACCAAGAGTATCACTTTGAAGGTTGTTATCCTTACCAAAGTCATCTTCATTGGTGTCCTCCTCCTCATCATCGATGTCTGGAAGGAAGAAAGTGGAGAGAGTGAATGACTCATACCTCGGTGACTGTAGTAGGTGAAGCCTTGCTACCTTATACAAGAACAAACTCAGCTTTTCTTTGGTTCACATCATTCACTGAGAACCACAATAGACATTCTACTCATGAGATAAAGTAACACTTCACGTATTAAAAATACTGCAAAACATCTTCGTTCTTTTTACAGAGGAGATACCATCTTACTTGCAGCTACTGTTAATAACAAACTAGGGATTTGAGAGATGGCTCGGTGGTTAAGAGCACTGCTCTTCCAGAGGACTAGGGTTTGATTCCCAGTACCAACACAGTGGTTCACAACCATGTGTAACTCCAGTTCTTGGTGATCCAATGCCCTCTCTGGCCTCAACTGGTACTAGGCAACATGTGGTGTACCAACATACATGGCAGGTCAAATACATTCAAATTGCTTAAATCTAAAACACACACTATTGAATTTCCACAGTACCGTCATAAGTGCTACAGGACTTTTCGACTTTTTGCAAGGTCGTTTTTTGAGGTATGTCACGCTGTTCAGGAACCTTGGCACTTCTGAAACCCATTTTTTCCTGTATAGCAGAAACTAGAATGCATCAAAACAAAAATAGGTTAGCTGAATCATAAAATAAAAGGAAAATTGGTCTTTGTTCTACGATAAACATTTGATCTCATTACTGATTTACAAGCACATTGTTTTGATTCAGAATGTCACTTCTGGAAGATCAAGGACATCAGGGAACATTTAAAGCATATCCAACATGGTCAGTGTATGTAAGATCTCAATCCAGGTGGATGAGACAGTATTGACAGAAGAGCATTTGACTGAGTGTGCAGGATGGCCAGCATCCAAATTATCTTAAGAGCTATGTAAACACAGTGAAATTTGTGCAATTCCTCACTTCTCTGTTCTTGAAACTATGACAGTATGACTTCCTAAGGACTCCCATTAAGCCTAATGAATCTACAAAATTAAATGAATGTCAAGCCCCAAAGAAAATCACTAGCACCAAAAAGGGATTTTTAGTGGGGTTTGCCAAAGGCCAGAAAAATCAGCAAGAGGCCACGGTCAGATACAGAGATAGTGTATGTACACTGCCAGATCAGGGGGAAATGGTTGCTTCCTTCCTTTCTTCTTTCTTTCTTCTTTCTTTCTTTCTTTTTTTTTTGAAATATTAAATTTCCTTTTTATTTGCTTCACCACTTTTCATTCCTCATGATGTTTTACAGTCCATGTAAAATATATAAGAACACCAACAAGGGGAGGCACTTGTAAGGGACCATCTCTACCTCCTGTTATTGTCTGAGGGCACTGTAATAGTCACCTTAAGATTACAGACCAAATTATCTGACAGAACAAAGAAACTGAAACAAGGATCGCTATTCTACTTTTCCAACCCTGACTCAAAAAAAAAAAAAAAAAAAAAAAGACCATTTCTTTCAGTAGAAGCAATATGAGGAACCAGGTTAGTTCACATGACTAGTAATTTTTAGGCCTCTCTCAGTGCAAATCTCTAATGATCAGACAACCACACTAGGAGAAGGCTCTCACCAGGAGTCTGACTCCAAGTCACTCTGAAACACTTGTCACGTGATGACTGAGAGAAAAGATACTTCCCTTCAGTCAACAAACCCTGCATAAGCCCTCAATCTTGACTGACAGGCCAGGAATCTGGGTGCTTTGCCGAGTTAATGGACTGCATCTGTACATACCACTTTCTCTGTAACAACTGCCCTCAGTGCTGTCTGTATTGCCTGGACTAAACATGCCTAAGACAAGGGCAATGGCTTTTCTAGCTCAAAGTATGTACTTTACCTTGCTTGCTCCTTTCTCAGAGTCTGGTTTCTGCTCTACAAAATTTTCTGTTCATATTGTACCCATGAGCAAGATAGTCTCACATTCCCTTAACCAAAGCCCTCCTTTACCTAATGCCTAATCACATAGACATGCCTCGAGGAAAAAAAGGATCTTAGAAATGATGACTTGTCAATGCTGGCTGTGTGGATCCACTGAGTACACGTGTTTCCCCATGTTCTCCCTTACCAGCCAACATGGAGACCCACCATCAGTGAGGGCAAGTATTTTGTGGAGACACAGTCTAGATCCCCTGAAATATTTAGGGTCCTATGTCTGCCTTAGCACAAAGTCAGTGTCCACTTCCTAATAAACTTTACCTGGGGATCAGCAGACAGAGGCAGCCACTAAATTAGACATAGCTATTAGGCTGTGGTGGCACACACCTTTAATCCTATCACTCAGGGGGCAGAGATCTGTCTGGATCTCTGTGAGTTCAAGGCTACACTGGACTACACACGAGAGAAACAGAATCAGGCAGTGATGACACACGCCTTTAATCCCAGGAAGTGATATGGCAGGACACAGAAAGGTATATAAGGTATATAAGGTGTGAGGAAACAGGAACTTGCTCTCTTGAGGCTGAGAATTTCATAGAGGTACGCTAGTACCTACCTGGCTGTTCTGCTTCTCTGAACTTTCAGCTTTCATTCCAATATCTGACTCTGGATGTTTTATTACAAGACCTTTTAAGATGAGTGTTACAAGTAATGCCCCACAAAGATGAGGGTTCCCCTTGAGCCTCTGCTCTCTTTGTAGGAGCAGAAGAAACCCTGAGTGAGTGAAGTCCTGAGTACGTGTGTACTACTGACAAGGGCACAGCCCAGGGGAAATTGGCAAAGCCTTTCTCCCAGGTAGGCCAGGCTGGAAGTTGGCAAAGCCTTCTTCTTGTCCAAGTGCAAGTGTTTCCTGGTGCCTGATCAGTGTGTACAAAAACTAGCAGCTGCATCTTCCTCCTCTGGAAGGTTAGGCCTGAGACTGCTTGCCTATGGAGACTTCCTGCCAGTGAGTCAGTCATTCCCCTTGTGATGTACCTAACAAACACACCAAAATTTCAGGTTGCTAGAGTTAGTAGATGCCCTGCATCAGAGCTTACACCTCAACCCTACACTCTGACCCCATTTTTCTGTACATGTGTCTGTGTGTCTGTCCTTTCTTCATTCCCTAACACCCTTAGTCAGGACTCGAGCCCAGTGTGTTGATGTACCAACGCATGGCAAAACTGTTATGTTAGCAAGGCAAGCACCTCATCACCTGAAAAATCCACCCTATCAAGATGAATATTAACAGGGATATCGACAATGCCTTTTTTTTTTTTTTGGTGAAATTCTACCCATTCTATAAAAGTAAGTTTTTGCATTGGCAGTCTCCACAAACTATCTGTGTGATGTATATTCATTCTGTCTGACTGTCTGTCTGAGTATGATGATCCTGAAGATATTAATTTTACTTTCACACAGACTCAGGTTTGGAAGACTTAGAGAAAGGTTTACAAATAAGTCTACTACTGGCCATAGTGCCTGTTCTTGAATAAGTCCAGCATTGTTCCCTAGAGTGTTCCAGTTGCCTAAGATCCATAGATCCTGCTCGAATGAACTCCAGAACATAGGATGGATTAACATGATATATTAAGATTTCAAGTGTTGTAAGATAAAGAAAGGCCATCATCTTACATCATTAAGGCCTTATACATATGAAGGTGATTCCCTTTAGATGTGGGCCAATTGATGGAAGCCTCAGGCTTGCAAAGCAAACACTTTATCAAATGAGTTACCTCCTTGGCCCTCAAAAAGATATAGAAAGGGACATGGGAAAACTTACTGCTCAGAGACAGGCTGATCTTTATATAACAAATAAATTCTTCCATTCTATTTATTCACATGCCCCTAAACAATAATTTTTAAGATTTCAAAGATTTTTGTTGTATGACATGTGTTCATCTGATTGACCTTGTCAACAATCAGTCCCTATTTTCACATGCATGTTTTCCATAAGTGATGACATAAAGGAAATAATTATAAATGAAAGCATTGGAAAGAGAAGGCGGCAGGAACATGGGCTTTGGTTTGCTAACACAGATGAAAAACTACATTAATTTCTTGACCACACAACACAGTCATTTCTTTGTACTTGGAATTTACTGTCTTCCTTTGTGAAAAAAAATGACAAAGAGGCAATAAAATAGAGTGGGTTCTTGTAGCCTCTCAGTTTTCTAAGTAGACCCATATTAAGTGGCAGGACACGGTCAATGTACATGGCTATGTGTATTCTGGATTGAATAGTATGCAGGTGGTGCTGCATGTGGAGTGTTTGGGAGCTTTGGGGTGTGGGGCCTATCCTGAGTTAGTGAGTCCTTTAGGGCCAACCTCTAGGTGTTGGAGTCCAGTTCCACTTCTGCTCATTCTGTTTCCTTGGTATGGATGCAACATACCAAAGTCGTCTCCTGCAAATGAAGCCACCCAACCTTCCCTGCCAGCTGCCAGGTACTCTCAAACATTACAGAATGATCCCCTTCAATAAGTCACATGAACACTTCCTTCCTTCAGTGATTCTGCTTAGGTCATATCAAGGGGGGAAAAAAACAATGAATGATTCCATGAGAGTCTCATCATGGTTCCTGTCTGTTTAGAAGGCCTCACACTGCATCTGACCCAGAGTCCATGACCTACAGGTAAGAGTCTTGTGTTTTTCAGGTGGGTCTGACTAGACAAGTCATTCTCAGTACTGTTCCCATCATCGCCACCCATGACTGAAAGAAAGCCAGCAGAGAGAGTGAATCACACACAGTGTCTGCCATAGGTGAAGCCACACTGCCTCACACAAGAACCAGCTCTGCTTTCCTTTGGTTCATATCATTTCACCAGAACCAAAATAGGCATTTAAATGTGGTTTTATGCTCTGTGGTGGTAGTTCTACTGGTGGACTAGAGAAATTAATTTCCACTTTAAAACTACTACAAGGATTCTTCATTCTCTTTATAGTAGGGATACTATATAATCTACAACTACTGATAATAACTATAATTAATTATTGAATTTCCACAGTACCGTCATTAGTGCCACAGGTCTTTTGCAGCATTGTTTCAGACATGTCATTGATTGTAGAGGTAACGGAGCACCGAATGCCTAGCTTCCTCAATATGGCTACAACTTGAATGCAATCAAAACAAGAATGTTTAGTTCTGCTGAATTCATTTAAAAAAACAAAAACAAATAAGGAACTAACAACTGTTCTATGTTTAACATTCCATCTCATTACTGATTTGCGAGTACACTCATTTAATTCAGAATATCACTTTTGGAAAATCCTGGAAATCAGTGTTGACTTATTGGAGATATGACATGGTCAGTATAGGTGCGGTGTCAATTCACATGGATGAGACAGTATCAACAGAAGGGCAGTGTGACTGTGTGAAGTGACCAGCATCCAAATCCCTGTAAGAGGCATGTGAACACATTGAAAATGCAATTGCTCAGTTCTGCATTCTTGACACTTGGCACTATAATTTCCTAAGAACTCACATCACACCTAATGAATCTAAAAAGGTAAATGAAGGAAGAGCTCTGGTCTGCTGTGGATAGTGCTCTGTATACTGTGAATGTGTTGCTCTGATTGGTTAATAAATAAAGTGTTGATTGGCCAGTAGCCAGGCCGGAAGTATAGTATAGGCGGTGTGAGCAGAGAGGAGAATTCTGGGAAGAGGAAGGCTGAGTCAGGAGTCGCCAGCCAGACACAGAGGAAGCAAGATGTGAAGACAGAACTGAGAAAAGGTACCAAGTCACGTGGCTAAACATAAATGAGAATTATTGATTAGTTTAAATGATAGAGCTAGTCAGTGGTAAGCCTGAGCTAAAGCCAAGGAGTTTTAATTAATATAAGGCTCTCTGTGTTTACTTGGGTCCAAGTGGCTATAGGACTGGCAGTTGAGAGAGGTTTGTACTGACCATGCGCCCTGCAGGTGGAACACAGGAAACCTTCAGCTACACTGGTAACAGGCACTAGTGCCACAAAGGTGCTCTATGGCGCTTGGTCTCTCCAGAACCACCACCTGGACGGTGATGCTTACAACCAGAGAGGCTGTTTGGATGACTTCTGGAAAGAGCATATGCTTGCTTCATCATTTACACAACACAGCTTTTTAAAGTTCACAGACATATCTAGTATTACCTTCACAGAAAGGCACTAGAGAAGAAGACAATCAACATCTCCTCCTTTTGACCAGAAGGCACTGTGTTAGTTACCTACTAATGACATTGTGCCCAAGTAGAGGACAGAAAAAAAAAGAACAGGACAGATGTTCTATTTTTCAATCCCTACTACAAAAAGTCACCATTCCTCACAAAGGAGTGGTGTAAGGGAACAATGTTTGTTTAATTGTATGGCATTCCTCTGCCACTACTTCACATGGTCAACTCCTCTCAGTGAGTCTTTCAGGCATTTTCTTACGGCCTAGGCTGGCCAGTGATTGGAGATGAGATTGAGTTCATGAGAACCATGCAGCCCCTTCTAGAGTATCAGATTAACCAACCTATGTTGTGTCCACATCACACTTTATGCACTGTTGAATATCAAACCCACAGACTCCTGAATGAAAACCTGCTATTCCAATGACAGAGCAAAAAAAACGCAAACCCAGTACACCTTAGCTTTCTCTGTCTTTCCCAGTTGTGAATAACTGTCACCTGATCCATGGATGTTATCTATGGTTTTTGATCACTGAGGTAGAAAAGGTACTGTTTGTGTTTTCTATAGGCAGGATTATTTCTGGGTATATGCTGGAAAGGTGAATGGATTCATGCAAAATGACAGCTCATGTCTCCATGAGGAGAAAATTTGAGCTTATTCTAAAAATGTCACTTTCATCCCAAATATCTGGGAACATGTTTTGCTCTTGTAGTCCCTAGCTATCTAGCTTGGTCACTCACATCCCTATCCTAGTTGGTTCTCCTGTAGCAACAGGGTATGTTGAGAAATGAATACAGCATACATGGCTATGATGAGCTCTGAACCAAGTAATGTAGGAAAGGCATGACCTCAGATTTCTTCATTGACAAAATTGACATGTGTAATTGGAATATCTTTTGGGAGAAAACACATAAAGATGTTTATTGATATATGAAATCCCAAGGCAACAAGAGTAAATGAGAGAACTACATACACAGGACCATGATATGTCTCTTGGGATATCTGTTGTTATCTTACCTAAGTTTACAAACTTGTTGCCATTAGATTGCTTTGAAAAGAATGAGAAACCAATATGACCTCATAGAGCCTGTAGGTTTAAGCCAGACAGGCTCCTAGAGCTGAGAGTTGGAAGTAGACATGGGCTCCCATCCCTAACCACAAAACTATCTTCAGCTGACAAGCTCTCACAAAGGAAAAAGTACTTTTCCCCAATGGTGTATCAACCACACTCCAGGGCAGTCCCCATGCCCAGCAGTAGGTGAGCAACACCAAACAAACTCAATGGTGTTCTTCTAGATTTTTGTGTCTTATATTGCTTTGTTTGGGCATTTTCTGTCTTACTGAGCTTTTGCTTGTATATTATAGTTTCTGATTCTGTGTGTATATGCAGTGTGTGTGTGTGTGTGTGTGTGTGTGTGTGTGTGTGTGTGTGTGTGCTTTTTCGTTTGTTTTAATTACTTTCATTGTTTTTCGCCCTGCCTGTTTGCTTTCTAAAGAGAGAGGAGGCATGGAGTTGTCAGGTGGGTATGTGGGGACGTTCTGAACAGAAATGGGAGAGGGGAATATGATGATTTCTTAAAAATTAAGAAAGATTTGTACATAAACAAGTAAATAGAAGTTGTGAACCAGACAAAGACAACAAGTAGATGCAGAGTTCTTATCTACAGTATATCCAAAAATGTCATTCCAAGATACATACTGTATCTGTGCTTCCTTGACTGGACCTGCAATTCAGAGAAAACACTCTTAGATCAAATCACACTGAGTTATGTTTGCACAGATCTCTGTTTTTTTTTTTCCTGTGACTTAGGACAGCTTGTAAACAGGACTGGGAAGAACAGCCAATTTGAAGACTCTATATTAGTCTGTTATGTGATTCTCTTACAAAATCCCTGCAGCTAGTTACTGTGTGAAAAAAATAAGTGATTTTTACACCTTTGCCTGTTGAGTCCACATCAGGCAAACTCACCCCTTTGTTCTCTACTGAGGGTTTCCTCAAAGCTTCTTTGAAACGTGGCAGAGAAACATTATGAGAATCTGGTATTGTGAATGAATCCCTCCAAGGAGTGTCCCTGTTGCCCAAATATCTACTCTAACATCATGCTTTAAAGGTCTCACCACCTCAATATCCCTTAACGGACACCAGAATCTTTTGCCACATCAATATTTGGGGAAACACATTCCAACTGTGTTAACCTTAGGAGACCCCAGCAGAAAGACAAGAAGACACTCACAGAAGAAACAGGAACTTTTCATATCCAATATGCCTGTTGGCTTATTCTACATGTTTGAGTCTGAAGGGGAATCTTATGTGAGAAGAAAAGCTCCTGACACCCACTATGGTAACTGACATGCTTTATAATTTCTTCTCATGCTGTGTCGTATCATGGGTGACTTGTGTCCTCTTCCCATGTAAACACTCTAATACCTGTAGAGTGTGAGCAGTTTATTACTGAGATCTGATGCCCATAAAAATAAAGTATCATGAAAGTAACCTTTCTATGTTAGAATATGGAAAGGTCATCTTACCACAACCAACGATGACTTTGACCCTTCTTCTGAGGCCTGAGGATGCTCCTCACTCAAATCTAGGGGAACAGGATATTACTTTCAGCTCATGGTACCACTTGTTATATGTCAAGGGCTTTTATGTTGCTAGGGACAGTGACATGTGGATTTAGTCCCTATGCCTAGCCTTAGTGCACAGAATTGATAAACATGGTTGAAGAGCTGCAAGACAGATTTCCCTGCTAGGAAAAGTGAAAACAAGGCAAGACCTCAAGAGAAATGAAGTAGAGACTTTTTGTTCTCCTAAATAAAGGGAGTCTAATGCACTGTGAAATAATCCATCTTGGATTAGGTTACACTTAAATAAATGTTATGTTAAATGACAGATTTCTATCTCTTTATGAGCATTTTCAAGTCTTTCTAGATCTCTGCTAACCTCTTTCAGCCACTACAGATCAACATAGACAGATTCTACATTCATTTACGATGATCTTATTTTTTAAATTCCTTGTTCATTGTTGCTTGTGTATATGCATATACAAAGTGTATGTACAAGAATACATACTATGTGACATCTGTCCAAGGGTCAAAGGACAAGTTTGTGGAGTTGATTCTCTCTTTCTACTTTCATATGGATCTGAGAAATGCCACTCAGGTCCTAACCACTGGAAGAAATATACATTTATCCTTTGAATCATATTGTCAGTCCTAGCATATAGAATTTTAATCTTCAAAATGTACACGTTGTTCAAGAAAAATTCATGCAGTATCAGGAACATGATGTAATGACACTAAATTTTTCACTGTTTGATACATAATCATACTTTACTGATAAGTGCAAGATACTGACATTATTACATTTAAAGATCCACCATAGATTGTTTTTTTTTCTCCTGCTAGTTTTTCTTTACTGGTCATCCTTTGTATTCATTCTGTGAGGTGAATGTCCAGGTTCAGACTACCCAACTCCCATTAAGGCAGAGAACACTGATCATCTGTCCCCTGGATTTCTACTTGCTTCAGCAAATAAGAAATGTATATAGAAGATGGACTCTTTTGTATGGTTATTAATGTCCTCATAGCCTAAATATAAGTATGTGGTAACAGTTTGGAACCTCATACTAGGGGGCTACATATCTGATTTCAACCTTGGCACTTTCACCTAAGAACATCATGACCTTGGGTCTATTCATCATCACATCTCTTCAATTCCTGTGCATCATCATTAAAGAAGTAAACAATGCACGTGTCTGTTTTGTTCCCGACCAACTTAGTGAACCTAACATATTGGTGTAAATGCTGAGAAAGGCTAGTTGTCAGTACAATGTACTGCCATAGACAGTGCACCCTCACATACTCCACAGATTCACAAAAACCCTGTAACAAATCCTCAAGCTATTGTTCTAGATAGATCCTGTTTTTCCTAAAAGTATTTATTTTAACTTCACACAGACATTTGTTGCACAGAGACAGCTAAAACTTTAAAAGTAATGCCTATGTTGTCCTGTGTTGGCCTAGGTGCATATTCAGATTCCATTTCTAAAGTATGGTCAGTATTGTTCTTTAAAATGTTCCAATTGTATGACTTCAGTTAGTAGATCTTGAATGAAATGGACCAGAAAAGACTAGTAGGTTAACATTGTTTGTTTAAATGTCTAGTACTCTTAGACTTGGAAAATCCACTGTCTTATATCTGCCTCAGAAATGTGTACATGTCTCCCTTGAACTCTCCATTGGTCAAGGAATGGGAAAGTCTCTGTGCTTGAAAGCAAGCACTGTGTCAACTAAGCTAGCCACTTACTGGTCTAGAAGGATGCAAAGATCCAGGAACGAATGATTCTGAATGAAAAATGGTCCTTTTACATAACGAATGAGGTCATTTGCTTTCTATGCCATTAGACATGCACAACAATCTTAAGTGTACACAGATGTCTGTGTTTTACATTTTCATTTTGTCTAACTTCCCTAGTACCCAAGCACATTCCCTACATCACTGTGCAGTCTCAGCAAAAAGAAGTACACAGGAAGTTACTAAAACACTTATTAATGAAAGCACAGGCAGGATAAAGACACAGGAGAGCAAGCAGACTTCAAATCAATTGTCAAGATTATGACAAACTATGTTAAACTCTTGATCAGATGTCATGGTCATTTCTTTGTTCTTGAAACATACCCTAGTCCTCTGAGAAAAGATGACAAAGAGGAAAACATAAGAAAGCAGGTTCTTGTGTTTTTGCCTAGAGTTCAGATTATGTGACATGAAATGGTCAATCTACATAAAGCCTTCAGTCATATACTGTGTGTTCTGGTTTGATTAGGGACTGTCCCGCATAGCCTCATGAGTTTGAGCACTCTCTCCCCAGCTTATGGTACTGCCTAAGAAAGGCTTCAGGAGATGGAGCATCCCTGGAGAAAGCAAGCCACTGGGGAAAGAGCTCTGTCTAACTTCTGTTTAGTCTCTGCTTCCTGAGTACATGTGCATGTATTCATGTACAGATGCAATGTGACCGGCCAGCGCCATACACCTGCTGAGACATTTTCCCTGCCATAATGACCACCTTGTCATAATAGGCCAAATAAGCCTTTCCTCCATTAAAATGCTTTTCTCAGTTATTTGGTCACAGAAATAAGAAAAGCCACTAATCATTAATAGAGTCTCATCATTGTTTCTGCCCATCTGGAAGTCCTTAAATTGACTTTCCTCTTTTGCCTCCCAAGCAGAAGGAACAACCTGACTGTTGATACACCCTTTCATTGGATCTGGCCAAGAATGCCAGGACCTACCATGGTCTTTGCGATACACGTTGGTCTCAGGAGACAACTCATTTTCAGTGTTGCCATCATCCATGATGTCAATGTTTGGAACTATGTCTGTGGAGAGTGATTTACATACTACTGTCTATAGTGGGTGAAGCCACACTGCCTCACACGAGAACTCGCTTTGCTTCCCTTTGGTTCAGATCATTCAGGGAGAAGCACAACAGTCATTGAAATGCATTTTGAAGTTCTATCGTTGCAGCTCTACTGTTGAATACTTCACACATTAAAAATACACAAGGCATTTTCCACCTTTTTAATAAGAGATATAGACTGTGGTTTGAATCAGAAATGTCCTGTTTAGGTTCAGGTATTTGGATATCTGGTACCCAGTTTGTGGCACCAATTGGGAAGACTGTGGATCCTTTAGGAGCTAGCCTTGCTGAGTGAATTGTATTACTGGAGGTAGGGTTTGAAGCCTCATAGCTTCACCCTAATTCCAGTTCATTCTCTCTCCTTCCTATTTGTAGTTAAACATGTGACTTCTCAGCCTACAGATATAAATACAACTTGTTCAGTCCATCTGTTGTTACTTGTATGTATATGATTTCAGGGTTGACCACTTGTTATTGAATAAGCAACTGGGGCTTCGCCTCTGAAGAAGACTAAATCTCCTGCTCTCAGTATTCCTTAGTTGTCCATATTTCTTTTTCTATGAGTGGGGCTCCATGAGATCCCCCACTTCCACGTTAGCATGTCTGTTGGTGGTGTACTTCCAGTGTTGTTTAGGCAGCCATACTGTTGAGGTATCATGGGTGAAGCTTCCCTGCCATTTCTAGGAGACGATCTCACAGCAGATTTCCTGGACTTCTGGCTCTTACAACTTTTCTGTGCCTTCTTCCTTAATGGTCCCTGAGCTTTAGGTGTGTTGCAGACATATCATTTGGGGCTGGGCACCCTCTGGGGATTTTTCAAGTTGAGCTAAAGGCATTTTGCATTATAATATGGTCATTAGCCTACAGAGGCAAGGAAGTGGAATGTGGTGGTATACTGAGAAATGTTTCTCTTAAGCTCCTGCAATTTAAACCTTGGTCTCTGGTAGTTGATACTGTTTGGGAAAGTTGTAGCATGTTTAGGAAGTGGAGCATTGCTGGAGAAAATGCATCACTGTGGGCAGGCTTTGAGAATCTCTAGCCTCACCCAACTTCCAGTTTGCTGTTTCATGTTTGCGGTTGAAAATGCGACCTCTCAGCCTACTGCTCCTGACAGTATGCCTGCCACTTGTTGCCATGACTTTCACTCACCATGATTGATATTTATCCCTCTGGAAACATAAGTCAACATAAACTCTTTCTTCTCTAAGTTTCTTTTGGTCATAGTATATTATCGTAGCAACAGAAAAGTAACTAGTACAATTATCATCACCGATGACTATTAATAACTCAGACTAACTACTGAATATCCACAGTACCGTCACTGGTGCCGCATGCCTTTTCCTTCACATGCCCATTTGCTGTTTCAGGTCTGACACTGAAGGACTTGCTGTGCCCAAGGCCCAGCTTTCGCATCATGGACCTCACTGCAACGCATTCACAACAAAAAGAGGTCAGCTCAATTGCATTTAACAAATAAACAAACAACCCTCGCCCCCGGGAAACCTAACAACTGTTCTGTGTATAAACATTTGATCTCATTAGTGATTTTCAAGCATGACTCAGAATGTTACTCAGAATGGAGGATCACAAACATAAGTGTCCACTTAACACAAGAATGGTATGGTCACTAAGGTCTCAATTCATGTGAATGGCACAGTATTAGCAGAGAAGCAATGTGACTCAGTGTGTGAGATAGCCAGCATCCAAATCATTTTAAGATCCATGGAAACCTATGAAATTTATGCAGCTGCTTATGACACCAACTCTTGGCACTCTGACCCTCCAACTGCCTAAGCACTTACATTAAACCTGATGAATCTAAAACAGTAAGCAAACATGAAGACTTATAGACTAGTACTAGGTCTAGAGAAGTGGTCTGTGGGGTTTACTGAATGCTAGAACAATCAGCAAGATAGCAATGGGTGGATCCAGAGACAGCTCCGGAACAGTGGACAATGGCAATTTCTTTTCATTCTTTGCCTAACCGTGGTGTTTTACAGAGCATGAAGATTGTGTATCACATCGAAGTAGGGAAGTAGGTAACGGGTTATCTTCATGCCACTGTGACATAATTGCCCTGACAGAAAAACCTCACAACAGGGAAGGAAGTTCTACTTTTCAGTCCCTGGTATGAATATTGACCATTTTCTCCAAAAGGAGTGATATGAGAGAGTTTGGTTAGTTCAAATGTCTCCATCTTTTCTACACTGTCTTTCTAATGATAAGATAACCATGCTGACCAGACACCACATAATGACTCAGACTCCAAGTCATTCTAACACTGATGTTACATTACAGTTGTGGTGGGGGTAGGGGAACACTTCCCTACAACTGACATACTCTGGATAAGCCTTCAAACTCAGTGAACAGGACAAGAAGTTTGGTGGCTTGGTGATTTAATGGATGTGTCTGCGCACATCACTCTCTAGGTGACAACTGCCGTTGGCACTATCTGTGGAGCCTGAAAAAGACCAGAGCAGAGAAGGGCAGAGCCTTCACTAGCTCTAAGTGTGCACCTGCCCACTCATGCTTCCTCAACCATGTCCAGTTTCTAAACTACAAACTCTTTAACGTTGTACACTATTTTATATTATATAAACATGAGATCTTGGAGAAAACCAGAAAATGTTATAATCTAACAATGGCCTGCTTATGTGTCAAGTTGACAAGAGGTGACTTGTGCTATTTAATCTTCTTTGTAAACTTCATACACCTAGGAGGGAATCGAAATTGGGGAGTTGCTTCCATTAGATTGGCTTGTAAGAATGACTGTGAGAATATTCTTGACTTCTAATTGATATACCAAGGCCCAGACCACTGTGGGTGGTGTTACTCCTTAGGCAGGTGGGGGTGCACTGTCTAAGAAAAATAACTGAGCAAACTAGAGAGAGCAAATCAGTAAGCAACATTCCTTCATGGTCTCTGCTTAGCTTCCTGACTCCACGTTGCTACTTTGAGTTACCATTTTTGCTTCCCTTGATGGCAGACTATAATCTGATAGATACAACAAGCCCTTTCCTCCCCGGCTTGCTTTTGGTCAATATGTCTGTCATACCAATGGAAAACAAATTATAATATGTGCATTTGACAAAATGTAGGAGGAGAATATAATTAAAATACTTATTAATGACTGCACCAGCTGGACAATGACACAGCAAAGGAAGCATCTTCGTTTTAACCACTAGATGATGACAACAACCTACATTAAACTCTGGACCAGATGACATGGTCATTTCTTTGTCCAAGGAGTACAAAAATAAAATATTGAGTCATAACATTGAGAAGATCAACCAAGGAAGATTCACTAATAGACTCTTATCATTGCTTTTGCCTATTAGGAAGACCCTTAAATTGATTTTCTCTGTCATCCAAGGAGAAGGAATAACATGTCTAATCCTAGACCCTCCCATTGGATCTGACCAGGAATGCCAGTACCTACCAGTACTACAACCAAGAAAACTTCTCTTCTTGCTGCTCGTCTTTTTCTCAGAGTCAGTTTCGTCAGGATCATCAGTATCTGGAAGAAAGTCAGTGGAGAGATGGATCAGACCCGGAATGACCTACCACCAAGTCCATTGCCTTGAAGGCTGTTCTTGCTACCCAAGTCATCCTCAGTGTGTCACCACCTATAGTGTTTGAATCTGGAAGAAACCAGTGAAGAATTGGATGTGACCAGAAATGACCTACCACTACCAAGATCATCGCTTTAAAGGCTGCTGTCTTTACACAAGACATTGGCATCTTTGCCCTCATCCATATCTGGAAGGAAAAAAGTGGAGAGATTGAGTAACTCATACCTAGGTGACTGTAGTAGGTGAAGCCATACTGCCTAAACAGAATCAAACTCAGTTTTTTGTTTGTTCACATTATTCTCTGAGAACCACAGTAGAAGTTTAAGTGTGTTTTTATATTCTGTGTTTGTAGTTCTACTGATGAACTAGGGAGGTTAATATTTCACATATCAAAAGAATAGTGCAAGAAATCTTCATTCTTTTCATAAATAAAAGGCAGCATAATCTACAACTATTGTTGATGACAAAGTAATTATTGAATTTTCAAAGTACCATCAGCAGTCTGCTGATAAAAAGCTATGTCTCAGAGTTTGTGGCACTGGGTACTGTGCCCTTTCCCTCTGGTCCTGAGACCTTGGAACCTTGCATTACTATGGTAATGGCTCTGTTCCTTATTGTCTATTCTAGGAGTGTGCTATGACCTTGAGGGCTGTGAAATTATTTTCAGAATTGTAAGGCGTCTCCGGTTAGACATGTGAGAAGTCAGGCAAGAGAGAGGGATGAGAGAGAAAACTAAGAACAAAGAGAGAACAGCAGAAAAAAGGTACAGAGAACCAGGAAAGAGAGGAGCTAAGTATGAGAGCAGAAAAGAAGCTATGTAGTTAGAATTGACTTAGAAGACTAAAATGAATGGACTGAAAGAGATCTGTATAGATTCATTTGACATCCCTCAGATCGGAATCCTAGCCTCTGTAAGCATCTTCCCCAGGACTCTAGGAGAAATCTCCTCAGGGTGGGTCCGGGGACTGGGGGGGGGGGGGACGGGCAGAGGAGCTTTCTTTACATCATAGAGATTAGTGTACACTTAATATAGGCATTACATGGTCAAGAGAGGTAAGTTCTCTCATGGCTATGGCACAGTAGCAACAGAAAAGCAGTGTGAAATTTGTACAGTTCCTTGCTTCTCTACTCTTTGCACTGGGACACCAAAAATTAAGAATCTTTCATAAACCTCATGCGTGTGAAAATAAGTAACGATAAAGGCTTAGTTAAAAGCACTGGACTACAGAAATGTCATGACATTTGTTAAATGTAAAACACAAACAAGACCCCAGCTCGATTGAGTGGCTACTTGCAGAGAGGGTGTTAGCCTGGCCTTGGGGCAATGGACAGTTATGTTTACTCTTCATTCTTTACACAGCACGGTGTTTTACAGGTCATGGAGCTGTCTACGTTTCACCTCAGACTACTGGAGTATTTAATTTTATGTCATTGTGAACAAATTGTCTGACAGAAAAAAAATAGAGATGAATGTTCTACTTTTGAATCCCTGACACAAAATATGAGTTTGCAAAAGAAGTCATTCAGAGAGCTCAGAGGTGTAAATGTGCACCTGTCTCTGCCACCTCCTTCACGATGCCTCCCTGTAGTTTCTAATAGTTAAGTCCATGGACATGGGACCCCTTCTATCTGTCTACCACAATGACTCAGAGGCCAGATCATGCTACCACAGTTGTCACTTGATGGTGGGGAGGAAAACAACACTATCTTTCAACTGATTAGCCCTGAATAAACCTTCAACATAAAGTGACAGGACAAGATGCCTAGATCATTGTGACTTAATGGACTGAGTGTGTGCATTCCACTTTCTCACTGACAGTTACCCTTGGCAACAGTCTCTACAGCCAGACCAGGCCTGCCTCTGAGAAGGGCGGGGGCTGCATTATCACTGAGTATGTGCAATCCCTACTCACTTTTTCCTCAATGAAGTCCAATTTTTACTAAACAAATTTTGTTTCCATTCACTGGCTACCAGGGGCAGGACACACAGTCCTGCTTGCTCTGAACTAAAGCCCTCCTTAGCAAATGCCTGAACATACAGACATATCACAATCACACTATTCAGTCCTGACTGTTTACATACACTGAATGGATAGGCTCCCTATGTTCTCACCAGTCAACATGGAGACTGACCATCAGTAAGAGCAAATACTTTTGGAGCAAAGTCTAACTCATCTTTAAATATGGTCAGTTAAAAGAATGAGACTATATTGATGAGAGGCTTCTCTTCCTTCCTTCCTTCCTTCCTTCCTTCCTTCCTTCTTTTTTTTTTTTTTTTTTTTTTAGTAGACATACACCCTAAATTGTGTGGTGCTTTGAGCTCCTGAGAAGGAGCTAAAGCATTCCACCAGTTCTCACTGGAACCTGTTGTTTCTAGAATTTCAGTCGTGACACATATACAATTTGGTGGTTGTTTTTTCTGTGACTTTCACTGTTAGAATCAATGCTCTCACTGGTGGAAGGTCAGCTCTTTTCCCACTTGTCATTTTTCATTCCCATGTTGTTGTTGTTGTTGTCGTCGTCAGACATAGCCTCATTATACAGCCCAGGATGACCAGAAACTGTCAGACAGGGAGAATAAACACCAACTCCTTATAGATTTGTGTGCTACCACTCAGGTTCATGTGGTACTAAAGATCAAACTGAGGGCCTCCTATGTCATACGTAGACATTTTACCAAGGGAGCTATTTTCCCAGAACATGTGGGCTTTCTCTGGCTTTCACACTTGTGGAAGTCTGTACCCAGGCGCATGGATGCTGAAATAGGTTTTGATTGTTGCTGTTATTTTCTATCTCTAGAGATTTGATGTGTTTGAAGTCCAGCTAGGGGCTGGAAGCCTTCTACAGTGACTATTGGCATCTTGACAGGGTAGTAAGTGGAAGTTTCATCTCATAGCACTGATACTGGACCCTACGTTTATGTACACAATGATGGTCTTGGCCTATGTAGTCACACATCTCAACCACTTAACTCTGTGTCTTGGTTGATTCTTCTATAACAGAGTACCAAAGAAATAATGCCAGCATGCATGGCTATGAAGACTTCTAAACTAATATAGGGAAAATGTGCACTTTAATTTTTTTCTCATTGGAGAAATTGATATTGGGTTTAAATAACTGGGATTTCTACCTAGGAGAAATACAGATATAGACACATCCTGGTGCATAAAATCTCAAACTAAAATGATCACAACTAAATGCATGCATAATAAACATTCTTACAATTTGTTATTTGGGATATCACTCTGTGTGTGTGTGTGTGTGTGTGTGTGTGTGTGTGTGTATGTGTGTGTGTTTCTTTTTCTTTATCTAAAAGTCTCAAGTGTTACTGTGAGCAGGTGGTAGAAATTGTAGAGTACACCTGAGAAAAGACAGGCAGTATTGTAAATTTCTTATGTAAAATGTGTCTTAATAAAGTGGCGGGCTGGAGAGATGGCTCAGAGGTTAAGAGCACTGACTGCTCTTCCAGTGGTCCTGAGTTCAATTCCCAGCGACCACATGGTGGCTCACAACCATCTGTAATGAGATCTGGTGCCCTCTTCTGGCCTGCAGTCATACATGCTGTATACATAATAAATAATAAATGAATAAATCTTTAAAAAAAAAAAAAGAAAGTGGCTCCACAATACATACCATATGGCTTCCTCTTTGGCTCCACCTACAATTTAAAGAAAAGAAACACTCAGGTACAGAACAAGGTGAGTTCTATTTCCACAGGTTTCTTTCCTCTCCTAGTACTTAGGGTAATTGTAACTAGGATGGGGAAGAATAGTCAAGACAAAGATTATTAGTCTGTCATATGATGCTGTCAGAAAACAATTGACCTTGGATACTTTGTGAAAAAATATCTTTCACACTTTTGCTGATTCAACCCAAATCAGGTCTCCCTATCACTCTATTAAGGGTTTTTAGAATACACTGTCACATGGCAGAGAAATCTTTTTAAAACCTGCTCTTAAGAGTCCCCTTTGAGGGGCTGGAGAGATGGCTCAGAGGTTAAGAACACTGGCTGTTCTTCCAGAGGTCCTGAGTTCAGTTCCCAGCACCCATACTGGCTCACAACCATCTCTAATGAGATCTGGCTCCCTCTTCTGGCCTGCAGGGATACATGCAAACAGAACACTGTATACAGAAGTAAATAAATAATTCTTTAAAAAAAAAAAAAAAGAGTCCCCTTTGAGAAGTGCCTCCATGCCCCAATTAGCTACATTAAACTCATGTTTTACAGGTCTGGCGACTTCAATGTTCCTATAGTTGACACAGGAAACTTCTGCCACAATAGTTTCAAAAACCAACTTACACTATCTAACATAGAACCCTGCAAGAGGAAGTGGAGACGACACTTACAGAAAATACACATTCTTCATAAACAACAACTCAGCTACCTTTGAAAACATGTATTTGTTGTATGTGTGCTCAAGTATATGTATGTGCACCACATGTGTGCAGGCATCCGGAGAGGCCAGAAAAGGGTGTAGGTTGTCAGATCCTCTGGGAATGGAGTTACAGGTGGCTGTGAACCACTGTGTGAGTGCTTGGAATTGAACCTGGGTCCTTTGGAAGAGCAGCAAGTGCTCTTAACAACTGAGACATTGCTACAACCCCATCTATTACCTTTTGAGTGTAAATTACACAACTTTAAATATAAAAAGGAACACTTGTTCAAGGAAAATAAGCCTCCTAAAACACACCTAACAGTGACATTTTGAGTCAGGGATGACTTGGTACAATTTCATTTCATTCACTTCCTAAGTAAACAACTTAATGTGTAGTGTACATGATCTTTTATATTATTCAAATATAGTATCTATTAAAAACAAAGGAATCAGGAAAGTAGCCTTTCTATCTTAGAAAATGTGATGTCCATCTTACCTTTGATGACCTTGCCGACTCTTCTTGTGGGGCTGTCAACTGTCTGTCCTCTGGAAAAAGTAGAACACAAAATAACAGCTCAAGGTACAATTTGTAATTGCCCAGAAAGCTTTGCTTTATATGGACAAAGATCTATAGCTTTAGTTCATATGGCTGGACTGAATGGATGTAGTTCATTAATGAGCATGATTGGGCTACTGCTGGACCAATCTTTTCAAGAGGAAAGGGAAAGTAGGAGAATACAAGAAGAGAAATGAGGGACAATAATTTTGGCCTCTCTAAGTATTGGGAATCTAAGACAATGTGCAATAATCCATGTTTGACTGTGTGACCACTAAAATGAATCTTAACATTATATAGGAGCTCTACCATGTCTTCAGACCATTCTGAAGCCCAGAAGATTGACTTTCCTTTCTAGGAATTTCTCAAATCCATGTCAATGCCCACAAACGAAATACACAGAATTTGCATTTGTCATTAAGCAAATGGGAATTCAAACTCAATAGTCTACATACTGTACTGGGGAAATAGATTTGGTAGCAGGCACAAGATGTAAATATATTCATCCACTCATCCTTTGATACACAATAAAATTACTGAACAGTAGAAGATACTGATGTTAATACAGTTTCTAAGTAGTAACTATATATAATGCAATTCTTCTGATCTTCCTTTAATATGCTATCCATTTGTTTTTGTGGTGTTGTGTGGCTGCCCATATTCGGATCAGTGGACCCACAGTGTAGTGGGTTAGAATGAGTATCTGGCCTCTGTTGACCACTCCATATCAGAGTTGTCACTAGAATGCTATAGAACATTAATACTGGAATGCTATTCTGAGTTCTTACACATCCCTGTCTCAGGAGTGCAGCTCATATGGTCTCAGCACTTAACTTCACAGATATCACTAAAAGATATGCCCAATTATAACTGACTTTATCGCAGGGTTGGAGACTGATTAAGGACTCAGTATCAGTGAACTAATCAAAACCATCAGTTCCTTGTGTTTTGCACATAATAACTAGAAAGAAATCTGATATTTGTGTAGCGATATCTGCCCTGGGGTTTGTAAGCATGAGTATGAAGTGGATAATGTGTATAATTTATGTAGGCCAGCAGAAATCCATCCTCAGATGATGGCTCTCTTCTATGGTAGCTAATAACTCCACAGCTGAATGATGAGCACAAGTCAACATTTAGGGTATCACATGAGGGCCACACATCTGTTTCTATATTGGCCCTAAGAGTAGAGGAGCTTGAATACTTCCATCTCTCTCTCTCTCTCTCTCTCTCTCTCTCTCTCTCTCTCTCTCTCTCTCTCTCTCTCTCTCTGATTCTACCCATAAGGGCATACATCTGTGCTGTTGGTAAGTGATTTAATGAACACAAGGCATGTGGTTTAAATCCTCAGGCATGTTAAGTTATTGGCAAAATAAACTGCCCAGTTCCTCCAGCTTAGCCTCAACCACAGACTCATGAAAGTCTTGGGTTCTAAATTCCAAAGCCATTATTCTTCTATGACATACTCCTACTTAGCTTGAAAGCAACCATTTTTCTTTCATGCAGACTCGGGTAGACAAAACGAGTTAACAGTTTAAAACTTATGCCTATGCTGGCCTAAGTACACACTCACTGTCCACTCCCACAGTTAGGTCAGCATTGTTCTTCAGAAGGTCCCAGTTGCAATACCTTTCTCAATAAGGCAGTCCCAGAATGCTGGGTGCACTAACATTATGTATTAAAACATGTAATATTTTAAGACCTGGAAAACCCACCATCTTACATTACTAATGTGTCACAAATTTGAGAGTATCTCCATTTAGCTATTGAGAAAGTCATAGGAAAGTCTAGAGTTCAACTTTTGAAAGAGCTCAAAATGAAGGGTCAGGAGAACTAAGCCACACAACACACTGAAACAGTTTCAGCCATTAACATCTTTTCAAATCTATAGGTAACCACAATTCTCTCTGTGAATAATTCTAATCATCATATTATATGTATACATTATATACTAATTGCTGATTGTAAAACAATATTAAGTTTCTATGCTCGTATTCATCAGTCTTTACAATTGACCCTAATCCTCTACTTTTGTGTATTAAAACTGACTCCATCCTGAAAAAGAAATTACCACATTTGACAATGCTTAGCTCTGTGGGGAAGTAGGCTCAAAAATTACCTCTAATTGATATTCCTAAATTCAGACAGCTCACAAAGTAAATGTTTTCAGATTAATGAAATATAGAAAGTGCATGCTCCTATGAACCATCACATACATGGAAAACACATATCCACATTTTCCTGAATAAAATGAACCTTTCAGGGGAAAAAAGGGAATGTAAAAATAAAGATACAGCGTGGCAGTGGTGGCTCACGCCTTTAATCCCAGCACTCGGGAGGCAGAGGAAGGTGGATCGAGGCCAGCCTGGGCTACAGAGTGAGTTCCAGGAAAGACGCAAAGCTACATAGAGAAACTCTGTCTCGAAAAACCAAACAAACAACAAAAAATAAAATACAGATACACACACATTGTTATATGAAATGCCTCAAAACATCTCCATAATTCTTTGAGATTAATAATTTAAATACATATAACTTAAATCTTATCAAAATATACTTTACAAAAGTTATTGTATTTATACCACAGAGCATCTAGTAAGGAAAAGCTTAACAACATATGCTATAATAGGAATTTACACACACACACACACACACACACACACACACACACACACACACACACACAAGTCCCACACATATACAATAGCTAATATTGGGTGTCAATTTGACTACATCTTAAAACAGTTATAACCCAAGCTGCTGGGCATTCCTATGAGGAATTTTCTTTTTTCTTTTTCTTTTTTCCTTTGGTTTTTCAAGACAGGATTTCTCTGTGTAGTTTTGGTGCCTGTCCTGGATCTTACTCTGTAGACCAGGCTGGCCTCAAACTCACAGAGATCTGCCTGCCTCTGCACCTGTGTCACCACCGCCTGGCCTGAGGGATTTTCTTGATTTAAGTATTTGAATCAGTAAGATCCAGCTTATGTCTGGGCTGCACCTTCTGGTGGTGGCCCAGGTACAAGGCCGTGGAATAAGGAAAGTCTGTTGTTTGCCTGCTTGCCTCACTCTCACTGGTGAGCTCAGCGACCCTGCTGCTGAGGCATTCCTTTGCCAGTCTTAGCACCAATTTCCTTGGGACTCCAATGTAGACTGAGGATCAGCAGCTCTCCAGGAATCCTCCAGGACTCCAGTGCCAGACTGAGAACGCTAAGACATCCAGCCTTTGGACCCAACCACTGCCGGATTCTCAGTCTTTTAAGGATGAAACAGCCTTTGTTGAACTACCCAGACAGCATCCTATAAGCCAATCTAATAAGTCCCCTTGATGTATACATATATTCTCTCTATTCTGTTCCTTCAGAGAACCCCTTTTATAACATATAGAGAAAGATTAAAGTCAAATTGCTTTACAGGACAATCATATACATGAGATAGAATAAAAGTATAAAGCATAATCAAAACTATATGAATATATATGTATAAAGAAAGAAATATTTGAACAAAATATTTTTAAAACTATTAACCACCTAAAGGCATAGCATCCAGTGGCGAATATCATACCTTTGCCTTTGCCGGTACAGTTATTGCCCATTTTAAACGTTTACCGCAATCAAAATACAACAGTCTATATTATCCCAGGTGCTAGTTGAGAAGTCTCAACGACACTGAAATTCAAAACTGAGGCACAAACATATATAATCACATAACCACGGCAACAGTGTGCTACAGAACTTTGAAGAGTGATGTCACAATCTATACTGTGACATCTATCAGCTGCTACAAGAGTTAAAATACAAGTTCAAGACCACATCTATCAATAAGTTAATGGTTTGGCAAAATGGCTCAGCTCTAAGTGTCGTTCAAGCCTGACAACCTGAGTTCAGTCACCAGAACCCACGATGAAACTTCCAAAGGTCATCTTCCAGTGTACCATGCACTTTATGTACGTACATCCACTCATGTACCATGGCATACTTGTACCTGTAGTCAGCACACACACATGCACACACCACACAATAATAATACTTTTTTAAAGAAGAGGTTATTATACATGGCTTTTTGTGGTCCACAGTCTTTCCCTAATAATGCAATTACCAAACTGCATGTTTTGTCTCATCTGTTATCACTGTGAGCTTCTTTGTCTAAACTTCTGAATTTATGGAGGAATTTTTCTACCAGTGAATTTAGAGGCTGAGCTACTGCTCCCTGAGGAAATAATAGGAAAAGTCATTTCCTGAGATCATTCTTTTGACAGGTTAATGGTCAAGGGCATGAACATAATTATAATATGGCTCAATATATTATCTCAAATAACCTTCACCATGTAGAATTAACTGTGTAACCTAGCTATAAAGGCCACCTGGTCATGCATGCATTTGCATAAAGGCCATCCAAACCCAAACATTCATGTGATCTGCTCATGAAAACAAGCTCTTATAAATAAATATAACCTTTCCCAAAATAGATGTAAGTGAAAAAGTAGGGTATATGTGCTGGTTTATAATTCTGAGAAGGTCCTCTTCCTGGTATTTCATAGCACAGGACTAAAGGGCATTAATACTAATAACTCACATATGTCTGGAATAATAACAGAGTTCATCTAAGGAGCTATCTTAGGGTTTCTATTGCTGCAACAAAACACCGTGACCAAAAAGCAAATTGGAGAGGAAAGGGTTTATTTGGCTTACACTTCAGCATTGCTGTTCATCATTGAAGGAAGTCAGGACAGAAACTTAAACAGGGCAGGATCCCATAGGCAGAAGCTGATGCAGCATCCACGGAGGAGTGCTGCTTACTGGCTTGCTTCCCCTAGCTTGCTCAGCCCACCTTCTTATAGAACCCAGAACCAGCAGCCCAAGGATGGCACCACCCACCATGGTCTGGACCCTCTCACATTGATCACTAATTGAGAAAATGCCTTAGAGCTGGATCTCATCAAGTCGTTTCCTCAACTGAGGCTCCTTCCTCTCTGATGACTCTAGCTTGTGTC